CAGCAGCTCCTGCAGCAGCAGCACAAGATCAACATTCTGCAACAACAGATCCAGGTTTAGTGTGCACACACACACGCCCCACACACCTACACACACCTATACACACACACGCCCCACACACACCCACGCGCCTACACACACAAACACACCCACTTCTCTCCATAACCTCACATCTTTGAGTGGACTCCTCTCGTTTCTTCCCCATCATTCCAATATGATTGGGTCACGTATGATGGGAAAACCACAATAACATGAGAGGTGATGACCTTTGCCTGCTATTGAGAGGCACAACTGCTGTGCCCCACTGGCCTCGCATACACACACACACACACACACACACACAGTGAAACACACACAGACGCACATGGTAACGCACGGCAGTGAGGCAGTAATTGCCCTCCTTATGGCCGGATCATTTACTTTCCCATTGATCCGTCAGAAATCAATATACCAGCCCCATCTTCTACAGCCCCCCCCTCGCTCTCTTTCTGCAACTGTCTATTAATCAACACGTGTTTCCTCTCCTCACGCCAACGTGCACTCCTCCATTGAACGTTTCATGTTCCTGTTTCTCCTGCCCCTTGTCTGATTCAGACAACGGGCTTCTGTATCCAGCCCCATCAATATATACATATATATATATATATATATATATATATATATAGATTGATTTACATTTACTCTACTTGATTCCTTCTCTCCTTTCCTACATCTGTCTCATCCACCTGATGCTCATCATCTGTGTACACCGCACATGCTCGCCTACTGGCAGAGAAATTACCACCAGCTGTGGGCCAAATGCTGCTAAATCTGCGCGCTGTGGCTGTCGGCCATGTGGGAAGTTAACCAGCTTGTATTTCATCCGTTTATGTTCATTTAAGTGGCCACACCGCGGTAGGAATAAATCGGTGAGACGATCTCAATCAGGTTTTGCCTCGTCCCGGAGCCCGGTGACCCCCCATCGGCCTCTGGCTTTGGATCTCCCCGCGCTCCGGAGGTGTGATCTAGTTAACGAGAGCTCGTTTCCTCCTCCTCCTCCTCCTCTGCTTCTTCTTCGCCGTTTTTATTACCAGGCCCCACACTTGGGTCTTAATGAAGCTCAGATCGGACTTCATTAGGGCTGCTGAGCCCCGAGGGAAAGCGAGACCCTAAAAAGCCGCCCCTCCTGCGGAGCACGGACACACCAGCAACATGTCATCACGCAGAGAACTGAGGCCTCAGCCGAGGATTCAGGAGATTCAGGCTTCAACCCCAAGCGCGTCAGAGTGACACGGGAAGAAACTAAAAGAAAGGAATAGTTCTTAACATCGCATGCATCACAGCCGAACCGGGCTTATTATGAGGCGCATGTGGCCTATCTGCTGTACGGAGGTTTGGAAGGATTGTGGCTGAGCTCCAGGGCTCAGTCACTGGAGTGTGGGCTGTTTACGCTGCGTTGGCGTTAAACACACAGGCAGCGCTGCACCGGTCTGTTTCCACTTATCAAATCCAGACCTGAGCTCCTCTCAGACCAATACCCGGAGGAGCTGACCGAATGCTACTGTTCCAGCCCGAGAGGCCTGCAGCGCCGCGCAGACACTTTCTCTCAGAATTGCCGGTTGTTATTCATATCTTAATTTGAAACACAAAATGTTGTCCAGATGGAAGAAATAAGACCCCCCCCCCCCAACTCCCCCTCCTCCTCTCAAAAGTTTTTGCAAGAAAAGTGGAACAGTTGGAACTCTCTAA